TTTATGTACACATTCCTAAACAAAAGAGACAAAAGTGGGACGTGAAAGGAATAAAGGGAAGATTTGTAGGTTATGGCAGTTATAGTAAAGGTTATAGAGTGTGGTTTGAAGATAAAGGAGAAGTTGAAATAATGAGAGATGTAGTGTTCTTACATGGAAGATTTAACAAAGAAGAGTTAAAACAAACTAATGAGAAGAAAGTTAGTAGCATGTATGAGAAAGAAGAAAGTAATGAGATAGATAAAAATGAAAAATTGATGGACAAAGGTGAGAGTGAAGAAGAACAATATGAGGAATACATCGAAACTGAAAATATAGAGGAAGAACAGGGAAGAGCATCTAAAGAACAGGAAAGAAAACAAAAACAGATTAAAGAAAACCGAAAAATAACAAAGCAGAGTGACACAGATACAGAATATGAAGAAGAAGAATATTTGGAAGAGGAGTGGTTTAGTCCTGATGAAACTAATGTCAAAGAAGAAAAAGTAAGAAGAAAAATAAAGAAACCAAAATGGACAGAAGACTATGAACTAGGAATGATGGTACAAGGAGAAGAGGAATTAAGTTATGAAGATGCAATAAATGGTAAAGACAGTAAGAAATGGATAGAGGCAATAAATGAGGAGTTAAAAATGTTGAAGAAGAATAAAACATGGATTGAGACTGAGTTACCAAAAGAGAAGAAAGCAATTGATAGTAAGTGGGTTTTCAAAATAAAGAAAGATGGAAATACTAGTGATAAAATATATAAAGCTAGATTGGTAGCAAGAGGATTCAAGCAAGAAGATAAGTTTGATCATTCAGAAGTTTATGCGCCAGTTGCAAAATTACCAACGTTGCGGATTTTAATGGCTATTGTTAGCAAATATAATCTGCATATGGATCAAATGGATGTTAGAAGTGCCTTCTTACATGGAGAAATAAATGAAGAGGTATATCTAGAAAAACCCAGAGGTATGAAAGAAGATGGTAAGGTACTGAAACTTCAAAAGTCACTTTATGGACTCAAAAAGTCACCCAGATATTGGAATATGAAATTTGATCAATTAATGATTCAGGAAGGGTTTATACGTAGTAAATGTGATTATTGCTTATATTACAAAGAAGGTGTTAAATTCTACTTGTTACTATATGTTGATGATATATTGTTGATTGCAGAAAATAAAAGAAGTATAGAGGAAATTAAGAGAGTATTAAAAGGAAATTTTGAAATGAAAGATATGAAAGGTGTTAGCAAGTATTTAGGTATAAATATAAAGAAAAATGAATCAACAATAGAACTTGATCAAGAAGATTACTTAAAGAAAATTTTAAAGGAATACAAAATGGAAGATTGTAAACCAGTATCTACACCTATGGAACCTGGATTGAAAATTTTAAAAGGCAAGCAGTTCAATGAAGTTTTAATAAGAAAATGCAGAAAGCTTATAGGTAGTCTCATGTATGCAATGTTAGGTACTAGACCTGACATATGTTTTGCTTTGAGTTATTTAAGTAGGTTTCAAGGATGTGCAAATGAGGATGTATGGAAGGGTCTGAAACGTATATTGAGGTATATAAAAGGTACTTTGAATGTTAAATTAGTTTATAAAATAGGTTCAGCGAATGTTAGTACTCCACTGGTAGGCTATGTTGATGCAGATTGGGGAGGTGATGATGCAGACAGGAAATCCACATCAGGATTCATTATGAAGGTATATGGTTGTACAGTATCTTGGGCATCATGTAAGCAACAATGTGTTGCATTATCTTCTACAGAGGCCGAATATGTAGCTCTTGCAAAAGGTATTATGGAGGGATGTTGGATAAGAAATTTAATGAAAGAACTTAATTTTGAATGTAACAATGTAACTATTTTTGAGGATAATCAATCTGCAATTCATATAGCTAAAAATCCAGAACATCATAAGAGACTAAAACACATAGATTTGAAATTTCATTTTATTAGGGAGAAAGTAGAGAAGAATATTGTTATGCTAAAATATATTAAGAGTGAGGATCAAATAGCTGATGTTTGTACTAAGCCATTAAGTAAATTGAAGTTTGAAACTTGTAGAGCTAAATTGTTTTAAAGTTTAAGTAAGGAATAGAGAAGTGTTAAATTTAATATTTAGTTTTAGTGATGTAACATTGAGGAAGGGTATTGGAGTAACAATGTCACATCACTAGAAGGATGTTACCATAGAGGAGTAAAAACGATGTAAGATGTCTTCCTACTTAGTCTATGATGTCTTCCTTCGTGTGCGGTGTGTGTTAAGTAAAACAGATGTGAGTCTAAATGTTAAATAAAGAAATATATGCAGAAGATTGGTTTCCGTAAATTCACTATCCTCCATCCATAACCGTCAACAGGAGAGTCTCCCGATTTTTGTCTCCGCGAAGTTAATAGATGTCGGGAAAGTATCTCGTTTTTTGGTTTGATGTAAGTCTTTTCTTGAGTTTCTATAGCTTCCGAATACGTCGAGATATGACGAATGTGAGAATAGTTAGTTGGAGATATGTAGTTTACTAACAGCTTTAGCTATATATAATCTTCAGAATTTTTTCTACCATTTATCTGATAAAAATTCTCAAATGTAAAATGCCCGTGCTTCCCTTTCAGATCTGCTGCTGGAACATTTGGTTCCTCAAAACGATCTGGTCTTAGATAACGCATCATACTTGTTTTGAGTTTTCCGGAGTTTTCAAAATAGTGTTTACGCTGAATGAATGTTATGAAAATGAAGACAAGCCCCGAGAATTAAAGGCTTTAAATGCATAGCACAAGACAAGAGAAAAATTATGATAATAATGACAAATATCATAGACATTTATAGATGACGAAAGAGTACTACATCAAAATACCGAAAATTTAAAAGAAGAAGAAGAAACTGTTTCATTCACTTCATTGTCATTTTACATGTAAAATTATAATTTATTCACTTGACATAGGCAGTATCATGCGAAATGCGCAGATAAGCCTAATGCCTTGTTAGTATAAAAGAAGAAGAAAAAGCAAAGGCATTTCTAAAAAGTAATGCCTCAAAGTATTTATTATTTTTTCTTTGATTAAATTAAACCTTAGATCTTAATATCATATGATCAATGTACGAATCAAAGAGTATTTTAATACAAGTATAAATCAAAGCACTTTTGTTCCCTTTAGTAACACTTTGCTCTTTGCACTTTTATAAAATGAATTTTCAAACCAGACCGATACTTTCTCCTCTAAAAGTTCTTATAGTAAATCCACTAACACCAGCTGGGCAGTTAACTATTGTAAAGATATTATCTGGAATGGTATTTGGTAAAGACCAGTTAGTTGATATGACCCTTCTCGTATATTCTAATGAACAGTCTGCTGCTGAAGTATTTAGATTGGAGCTTTTGGGATGTGCTTATCCCTGCTATAACAGAATCATAATTTCATCTGATTTACCCAGGTAGCAATGTCAATATTTTAATATTTAATATTATCATTTAAATTTTACATTAATTATCATTTAAAGTTACCTTCTTGTCATTAGCTAAGAATATGCTTTTCATTTGTCACACAACACAACATAATTTGTCAATTTCCTTTTAAATTGAAAGGGCAAATTTATAAAACTATAATAGAACTATACTATACTAGAAATGTGATGACAAGAGATGACTTGCATGTAGTCAAAATTGGCCAAGCCGTTTGGTCTATAAAATACCATATAGGAACAACGATACATACATAGACTCATAAACACATTACTCTCCTTTGTGTTGCATAGTCGGGTATAAAAAGAGTTATGAGCATGAATGTAGAAGGAAAAGTAAGGTGAATAAGTCTAAAGAAAAGATGGATAGAGCGTGTGAAAGATGTTATGCTTGAAAGTGGTAAATGTTGAGGTGTCAGTTGACTGAGACGTATGGAAGAAGAATACATATTGCGCCGACCCCAAATAATAAACGGGCAATTCAAGCAAATTATTAATCTTGACGTCTTACTTTATGAAATCCGGCATTATATGGCCCTATCTATCTCAATGACTGTGGCTCTACCGCGCAACTGAAGCCTTGATCGATGCGTCGAAATGAATCTCGGAACGATTTGGCTGGATTGAAATCTGTCTGGTATGATCCAGTCGCATATAATGCTAATGCAATTAGCACCTGCAACAATACAATATATGTAATATCCTTGAATAGTTCGTACACTAAGTAAGCTTGCAAAAATACAGTGGAAAGGTTAATAGGTTAGGTATTAATGCATATTTTCTTACCTTAGTATCTACGTCCAAAGCATCCGCATGCAAGGTGGGAGCCATATGAGGAGTTAGCTCATTAATTATAAACTCACTCTTTCGACAGTCTATAACGCTTTATAAACTGTCGATCTTCTAATGAAAAGCTTCACTTCTTATTCTTGCGCGCAAGTTTTCTTTTTTAGCATGCGCTCAAGCAACCGATACGTTCGTGGGCCCTTTCCAGAAAGTCTAAATACATCATTTTCACTTATATATAGGTTCTGATTGCTCAGTTGACGGTTGATCTGTCTGCCTTCAAGACCCTAAATCTGCTAATGTTAGCATAATGATGGCGCGACAAAAGCATTTCAATATTTTATATAGAGTGCTTGGTCAAATGTTATACTGCTAAAAGACGGATTGTAGTATTTTCTATAGATTTGTATTTTAACTTTAGTACTATCCTCAATCATGCGCCATATCTTAAGCGGAAACTGTTATAGTAGAACATATTGCTATGAAATTGTTGCCAAGTTAAATAGAGAACACAAGTAATAACTGCTAGCGGAAAGTGTTTCAGATGCAGACGTTTTCTGCTTTATATCAAATTTTACCGAGTTAAACAAGATTGATTTTGAAAAAATTGATTCAGAAGAACAGTTTGATGCTTTGTATTTGTTGATTAAAATTGCGAATAATCTTTCTGGCCTTACCCCTAAAAAAGAAAGTGATGATGTAAAAATTACACTGAAAAAGAAAACAAAAGAAGTAGAAATACCACCACCCAAGAAACCAATAATCATGGCGGATGGTTTGGCAGCACTAGATATTCTTAAGACAATGTCTAAGAATTTGCCTTCAGATATATTTTTTTGTCCTTCTGGTATCCCAGAAGTTTCTAAATCGGTATTGGCCGATTATTTAAAAGTGAGTATTGGAATGACATAACTTTATTATATTTGATCAATTTTTCATTCACAATGCTATACTGTTATATTTTTAATGAAAAATATAGTTTTCATTAAGAATATAACAAAGCTTTTAGAACTTTAACGAGAAACAGTCGTTAAACATAAATTTAGGTACTTCATTTTTAAGGTTGAATGCAATAACATAAATGACGTATTCGTTTGGGCTGCTAATGATGAAGTTCTTCATGTAGAAGTGGAAAAACCGTTAGTTATACATGACCAAGTAAATATTAAATCGAGTTGTGAATGGAACATGATTAGTGAAGATTTACTTAAGACAATTGAATATGATCATACCCAGTTTAATGCAAGTTGGATGAAAAAAGAATTTGTTCTTAAGGTATTTGTTTTCTTATTTTTTAAGCATTATGTCATATTATTATATTATGCTAAAAACAAGCATTGGAATTTAGTTCAATTAGAGGCACATTTAACTAAATTTATATTCAGGGAAGATGATTGTGTGATGACCGAACTCTCTGTAGATTCGACTCTACGTGCAGTGTACAGCTAGCCTATCCTACTATTATTTACGTAACAATCGCATTTCGATGGAGTCTCTACTACTTGCATTTCACCTTGTACTATCTACCTAAATTCCACTATTATTAGTGCAATGTTGTCTTCACAAATCAATGGTCACAGATATATTTAATAATTTGTGAACTAATAACAAGAACTGTGTCATAAAGGGTTGTAGTTGAAGCGCTATTGACTTAACATAATTACGCTAATATTAGCAGAAGCGGTCGCTCTACAGGTGTTGCTTCTCATTGGTCCCGAGCTAGATTCTTTTAAATTTTTGCATATGAGTTTCTGTGCTTATGAATTTCTTGAAAATGACTTGTGAACAAGCTAATTGCTATATTGTATGAAGTAAAATGTAATTTATATGAATACCTATAATTTTCTCTAGCGATTATTTAGATTTCTATCATATACCTTTATTTCATTTAACGAGTTATTTTTAAAAGGTTACAGCACTCACTTCAAAGAATCCTTATGGATGTATTTATAAAGCGTCTCTTTTTTCTAATGCTCTGAAGTCTGTATGGGATTATCGTAAAGGTGTACTTGGAAAGAAATCCTATTGGAACTTAGGTGTTATAAGCGATGGTTCTTTAGGAACGATAAAAGGTAAAATACTTAAGGCCTACAGTGTTACACCGCGTGCGATTTTTTAGAATTTCATATTTATATTTCGTATTGTCTCGTAACGGGAGTATTAATTACCTACCAAATACTGCCGCTGAACCATAGATAAAGTCGCAAAGAAATGGTACTAAAAGGATATAAATCCTTCGAAATTATAATTTCTTCATTTTTGGAGTAACAGAATCATCATCATCATCATCATCATCAGCCCTTTTACGTCCCCACTGCAGGGGCTCAGGTCTTCCTTATGGATGGCTAAGGAGTATGGGCCATGACCCTCCACGCTGGCCCAATGGTATTGACGACTATAAATGAAGCCGGGACCAACGGCTTAACGTGCCTTCCGAAGCACGGAGTAGCTCGAGATAATAATTTTTTGGTCACCCATCCCGTGACCGACCCTTGCGAAAGTTGCTTAACGACAACGATCGCGGGCCGCGGCGCTTGTCCACTACGCCACCGAGCTACTCACATCGAGCTACTACAGCTACGAGTAACAGAATAGGTAAAGGAAATACGATTTTATTAAAACATTTAATAAACATATAAAAAAAGGTTTTCTTCTGATATCTAGGTTATCCATACATTTTACCACTGATTCTCTGTGAAGATTCATGGACTGTTAATAAACGATTTGAAAATGATTTACATGTTAAAAATGAAATAAAAAGGATTAATAAAACAGTCAAGGAGCATCACCAACTGGTAATTTGTCCTTTGTTTAGATATACCCGTAGTATATGTAATAATTTTAGATTTTAGCGTGTACATAATCTTATCGCAGTCTTATACCCGTTTACACTAAACTTGGGAAGGTTCAAATCTGATATCTAAATATTTGGACATTGTCTAAAGTGAAAATGTGATACCAATGACAAGGAGTCACTTAATTTTAAGTATTACTTATATATAGTCCATATATAAGTAATGCTTGAAATTAGGATATGCATTCTTCTTCTATTATTAATGGCTTATCTGCGCAATTTGCACAACTCTGCACTTTTTTTAAATGAATATATTTATTTCTACATTTCTACATTTCAAATGAAATGAATAAAATATGGCGAGGATCTTAGGACATGGATTGTGCGGCGCCTAGGGCTTGGCGTATGCGTAATGTGACCACAGTAAGGCATTACCTAACGTTACAGGTTTGGTGAAACGACAAATCTGCTTAAGCTATTCTTAATATTAAGTGACTTCTAGTTTAGCCATGTCTTGTTCGAGATTAATGAAAATGGGCATTAGTAAGATACAGAAAAACTGACCAAGTGGGAGTCGGATTCGCGCTCGAAGGGTCCATTATCCATACCATTATCCATTAAAACAAGTAAAAAAAAAGTTTGTTATTTTCTATGGAGTCGTATCATTAAATTGGTAGAGGGGGTAAATTAGCTAATGTAAAATGTAAATTAAATTAACTCTTCAAAGCTTAATCAGTCACAAACGATTTACTTAATCGAAAAGCTGCCTTCCCACATCACACATGGGGAAAATGATAAAAAAATATATCAGCTCCATTTTACACGATGGGGAGTTAATTTTTTTTCAAAATTTTACTTTATTACTTTGTTGGTGTAATTAACGTGTATACTCATTCCAAGTTACGACTTTTTGTACCAATAGTGTTACATCTAAACCACGAACGGACGGACAGGCTATGCATAAGGGTTCCTTGTTTACTATGGAACCCTGAAAAAAGGACGTTGAGAAAAAATATTTTTGCATTGTGTTCCCCCCAATCTATGTTTTATAGAGTTTTGAATGTTTTAAGTATGTATTATTGTATTTCAGTTGCTTCCGTACTGCAAAAGATTTTTGTATGAAAATATAATTAACCAGGCTTTCATACCACGCTCCAAGAGCAGTTCGGACTATTCCATCGCGAACACTAGTAAAACTAGTCTATAACTGGATACTGGCGATCGTTATAATCTGTAGGTATGATATTTATATAGTACTATATGCTATGCTTAATAAATTGTTATGCAAATATAAGAATTTCTATTATAATTTCAGAAACATATTTTATGTTTAAAGTAGGTTTTGCAATCACGACTCTATCTTAGCGATGCGAGTGTTAAATTCATCAAAAATAATAAAAACCTATTTTTATTATAATTATGAATATTTACTTCTGCTGTTTTTCTCTCGTAGCAGCAATACATATTTGGGAAATTCAACTATCTCGTTGTTGTTAACGTAGTAATGACATTTCAATGGCGTTCCAAATAATTGTTTTTTGCCAGTACATCATAGATCTATTTTTTTTTCTATTATATACTTATAATATACTTTGATATACTTATAATTTATAAATCTCATCTAATTTGCCGTAGAGTTATCATTGAATGAAATGAAAATATCATAGCGTGAATTGGCAGAGTGTTAACTTGATCCATCGCTAAGAGTTCGTATCTAAGCCAACGAGGGAAAGGAAAAACAAATAAAAGCGCATTTACCGAGCGATTAATATTCGACGGACTACGGTCTCGGCTCGTGACCGCATCGTTTGTTTAACCTCTTCTGTCAATTTGATTTCCGACCTCGGGGTATGTAATTTCCATTACGGAGGCCAAACGCTTTGTTTGTCTACGCGCAGACCAATAAGTCCATCGAGAATCTCGGATGTTTGTAAGAAAATGTTATGCAAGTTGACCTACAGAATTGTATTCTATAACGCTCAGGCTGGTGCAACAACAATTTTAATTTGTCTCTTTGGTTATAAAATTATCGATTTCAGATAATATTAGTGTCTTATTGTATTTTGATCGATGCGTACTTATTTTTAATTTGCCTTTTGATCATAACTTCGAATAATACATAGGTAACATGATTTCATTTCTTAATCTTGTGGACCATAACAGTTCATTATCATTCTCTTTTTGTCGTCCTTGATTAATATTGAATTGTCTAAATTTCTATTTTTCAGCCTTTAATTAATATTACACAAATAGAAGTTTCGTGTACGTATTATGTCCCCTTAGAATTGTTAACATCGTCACTTTATTATAATCTATCTCTATTATTATAAAGTGGAAAGATTTGATTATTTGCTGGCATCAAATAAGCTCTGAAAGGACACTGGACCGATTTAAAAAATTCTTGCACATAGGAGAAGCTTTATCATATTCTATAATTTACGCAAGCGAAGTCCCGGGTCATTAACGAGACAAAACAAATAGTTATTAGAGGTAGATTTAGGTTATAATCGTTCTGGTAAGGTTATAACTGACGATGCTTATAATTTTACGCAGATATATTAATTAAAACCATTTGAATAAAGAATAAAACGATAATGAACCTTATTTTTGGGGTAAACACATCGCACTATTTATAATAGGTATAAAGATACCAAAGTCAGGAATATATTTCGTCAATAAAAATTGCGCTATGTTAATTGTTAAAACTCAAATGATTTTTTCCTACTGCTTTCTCTAATAAACCTGTGTATGCAATTTAGTGTTTAATCTAATTTACGGTCATTTAATGCGGGTGGCTGTATTCTCGGCGCGCCGAGAATTCGAATCAAACTCGTCTCATTAGCCCGCAAAGGAAAACTTGGATTAGTTGACCAACTTCTAGTGGTGAATTGGGCGGTGCGTCCACCACGTCACCAATGACCGTTGGACTGTATCTGCCATTACACATTTACGTGTAATTTATATGGATTAAGTAAACATTTTTAGTTTGAAATATAATAGCTTCTTTATTACCAAATTATATACCTACGAGTATATTCTTCTTACAGCCAGTTGCAGAAATGTCCATTAAAGTTAACAATTTTAAGTTTTTATGAACGTTCGCAATCTGATATTTGTATTGGATGTTGCTTTAAACTTTAAAGCAGTCTGTGATATCACTATATTAGTAAGCATACAACTGCATCACATTAAAGGGTCGAGCGTGTAAAATATAAAAGCAAGCATCATCTTCAAGCTGTTTCTGGTACTGGATCGATTTTTCCACTTCCTGAATTCTAGGATTTAAATTTATAATTCCACCCACGAAACGTCACGTCGTTTTATCTTTTTGAACCATTAAAGCTACACTGGTGCTAACTTGCTTTAAATTCGAATTTGTACGTTAACATTGTCAAGTGACTGACCTACCGTGAGATTTATAGGTTTGATAGATTTGCTTTTATATATTAAATTTTCTTTTTAAGGTGAAAATTTTACTTATCAGTTTCTTAAGACTTTTTATACGATACTGGAGTAAAGTTTTAGTGAAAAACAAGTACATCATGTTCAGCTGCTAAATTGGATATGTATTTCGAATTTGTACAATCAGAAGTGAAAGTTCGGATACAATAAATAACTTGGTTCCCTGGTGCTTTGTTTACCCTTCCGCCTAGTGGGGGCTTTCCCGTCACATTAACAGGGACCTGCGATTTTCCTTGGCGTGTCCCTCCCCGGGACATTCTTTATCTGTTCCAGCTTGGTTCTTGGATTTATCGACTTTTTCCCTGCCTTAATTTCTAGAGATTCGGTCGAATGGCCCACGCCAGCACCGGAACATTAACGCTACCCTAGGGAAATATCGTTTGTGTTTTGTAGCATTTTTAAATTGTCTTTAAGCCCCATCTTTTGGACAGCCATCTGGAAAAAAGATAGGTATCTTATTTAACGGTAAGATAGCTGTTGTCTACATTTTATTTAATTTTTTATTATAATTTCATTAACTCACTGCTGCATCTACTGGTTTAATAGTTTAAAAAAAACGATGCCTTGATACGTAAACTTGAATGATATTTCAAGATATAATTTCATTTAAAATAATATATAACAATAAATAATAAACAAATAATATATAATTTTAATCATAATAACTAAATTATTATAATGTTTTATATTTAAATTTATACGACTTACAATAACAAAAGATTTTTTTACGAACTGACATTCATAAAGAGCATATTTGATTAGTCAAAATTTCAAATTACGAAAGATGAATAATAAAAAGAAATGATGTTGAATATCAAAGACAAAAGGTTTGCATACTGAAACCAAGGAAAAATAAACGGTGCACCGTTACACAACTATGTAGAAATATACCTAGGTGTGACGTCATACGGTGTTATGCATCACCGTAATTTATTAATTGCGCCATTAATAAAACAAAAAATATATAACCATGGTTATTAATAAAGAAATGTTGTAAACGCTTACCTATTATTGTTTCTTACATTTTAATTCCTTCAAGGTATCTGAATAGTATCACAGTTACGTAGGAGCTGAATAAATATGACCGATGGAGCTTGTTGTATTGCGTTTCTCCGGTGTTCGTCATTGCGAATGCCCTTTGGGCTCTTGTCTTTGTATGGTTGTGTTGGTTTAGGATTCATGGTAGAATATAGACAACTTCATTTTTTTATGTCAAAATATTGTATCACTCTCTTACAAAGCAAAACAGAAGAGTCGAAATTATCATTGTAATAAATGTATTTTGTACGACTTCTACAACTCTGAAATGTCGTAAGCTAAAATATATAGGCATCTGAACGTTTTTCTTTTATCACGACAGGAATTTGAGAAGGTATTAATGGAAGCTTTATTGATGTAATAACGTTCTAATCCTATAACATAAAGTGAGTTCCTGGATGGGAGGGCTGTGGGTCGAAAAATTTGTTTAAAAATTCAATACCGTCTATAAGAAACTCGTTTTGGAAACGCAACGGCCTGCGAACATTCCCATTTTCCCTTAATAACCCGGGAGAAATTGCACGATTAGTGCGAAAAAGGATACCTACCCGTCCTTTCGATTGCGATACGCAGACCGAGACGAAACTTTTTCAGATATTTAATGTCCAAGGATATGTAAGTCTGGTGGAACCCCCTTTTGTGTATATACATACATTAAAGGGGGATCTAAGTCGCATGAATAGTTTGATAGCTACTGTATTATGGAGGACGAAACCAATGTTCAGTTTCGGTGTTGATTTTATATAATTGTTTCTTATTGTATTGTATATATTTATTTTGACATTCAGTACCTGATTCTATTTAAGGTAGTTATTATCTATATCTGTGTAATTAATATGTCAGTTTTGTTACCGATTTATATTGTTTAGAATTAGTCCTTTGAAGCATAAAACAAGAACAAAAAATCCTAAAAAGGAGTAAGACTTACCAACTTCGAGTGTTTTATAAGCTTTCGTGTCTCTTCAATAATTTAAATCCAACCGTGTCCGGAATGTATTTTGTCTTCTTTGTCTAAAATTCATTTATCGCATATGATAACATAAAAGAAACAAAAATGTTACGAGGAAATAATTATCCTAATTAGGATTTCAAGTATTCGAATAAGTAATATACGTCGTTTGATTTGTACAGTCAGCGAAATTGGATTTGGTGTGTTATTCAATTATATTATACTTCAATTTTTAAATAATTGGCAATTTATACTTCATTACCATTAATATATATGATAAAGAGGTAAACTTTCTAAGTTTATTTGTTTGCATAGGGTATTCTTCTGAAATACTGATCTGATTATGCAAATTCTTTCACCTATGGGAAGTTACGGACATCATAGGCGTATATGCGTGCTATAATCTATAATTTACGTTGGAGAAGTCGCGGTAAAACAGTTAATGAATAATAAAAACATCTCAAATATATATTTTTTAAATTAATGTTGCAATTTTTATTCAATTTTTACAGTGTTTCGTTCACTTATAAAGCATTTAATTTTGATTGATTTGCTATAATCTTTGTAAATGTCTATAGCTGAAGAATCACCGAAACTGAAATTTTTTTAACAAGAAAGCAGTTTTAGCGTATTAATAATATGATCAACATTTTAATCTAAATAATCACGGAGCCTGCAATTGAAAACGTTCCACATGAAAATGTAAAATAGTAAATCATCAATCTTATTCAAAAGAAATACTGTGTTATTATTATTTTTAGGG